TACAATTCACACAGATGACAGCAGACGGCAGTACTGACGCATGCGCATTGCAGTCAAAGGGGCCTCTCTACCTTTCTCTCTCGCACAGATGTTGGCTTCACGTCGGTATACGAGCCAGTATAGACAATTCCTCTTCCAGTTGTATATGTTCTAAAGGCCGTTCTACAATAAGTTGCAAACACCCCATTGCCAGTTGCGGAGTGACAAGTTGCCAGTCACAAGTTGTAAATCATTGCAACACCTAATCCACATTTGGATGTCGAAAGTTGCGATTTGTATAGAAACAGCCAATCAGAAAGTAGAACGTCCGTCGTTATTTGCTGTAGCCGAAAAATCGAAGAGAATATATATCAAGCAGGTTATGTGATAGATATTCGAGATGTTCTCGAAATGAAAATGAAATAAATCAAACACCACCGATATATCACAACAACTTTCATTTCACTCTTCGCGCTTTTCGAAGACAATATTTGATTGGTTAAGATGTTACGGTAAACAGTTGCTGTTGCCAAGGAGTTAAAAGTTGGGCAACTCTCCGTTGGCAACCGCGACTATCTATTGCAACCGGAAATAGCACTTTGCAACTAGTAGTTGTCAACCTTTGCGACTGGCAACGGGGTGTTTGCAACTTATTGTAGAAAGGCCTTAAGACTGCAATACTCTAAATAATTAACGTATAAGAGCTATAGAAATGTATAAGACGTGTTGATTTCAGATTTTTTTATCGTACGTAGGTAATTCCTGCTTTCTTTCCCTTTGGATGACATACTAATTCTTCGTTATTTTAGCTTTTTTTTTTAATTTTAACGATTGTTGAGTGGATAATGATGCCAGCAGCATCATTGTCCAATCCACAATGCAGTTTAGTTGTGATATTATTGTTTCAGTTTATAATTATTTTAAGTTTGATAATAAACTACGCGCAGTTTACGTAAATGAAAGATGTTTTTAGAATTTACATTTAAAAATACTATAAAACAAATCTCAAAATCTTATGTACCTCGACTATATTGTCATTTTCTAACTTATTTGGTAATTATTTAGAATACCCCCCCCCCCCCCCCCC